GATAAGAGAGGGGGGAGGGTGAGAGCTGAGAGTTCTATGCAACCATTCAGAGAATTTGTAGGGTCTATGGGGATGCAAGAGGTAGGCAATCAAGGATACTATTTTACATGGGGCAATAATAGGCTTGGGGAAGGGTTTGTGGAAGAGAGAATTGATCGAATTTTTGGGTCTCTTCAATTTTCAGAAAGATATCCCAATGCAGTGGTGTCAAATATTTTTAGGAGTGCCTCAGACCACAACTTACTCTTATTATGCCTACAACCTGAGACCACTGCACAAAGCAAAGATTCTTCTTCAACAAGACTTGGCTGGGGAAGCAGGGGATACATGAAGTCATTGAGGGAGCATGGAATACAGAATCAACAGCCACTCCTATGTTCAGCTTCTTATCCAAGATAAAGCAAACAAGAGTGGCTCTTCTCAAATGGAGCAGTGGATTTAGAGCTGAAAATGCCAAAAAGATTTCTCTATTGAATGCTCAACTAGCAGCTGAAAGAGATAAGGGAGGCCTCAAAGATTGGAATTTGTGGGACTCACTTAAAAAGCAGTTGGATGAAGTCCACAAAGAAGAAGAGAAAATTTTGGCAGCAAAAGTCTAGAATATCTTGGCTTAAAGAAGGGGATAAGAACACAAAGTTCTTTCATGCCAGCATAGTTCAGAGGAGGAAAAGAAATGCCATCACTAAACTCATCAGAAACGATAACACTGTGTGTTTTCACCCCAAGGATATTGCTGAGTGCATTGAAGGATTTTACAAAGACTTATTCACAACAAAGCTTGATGCAACAAGGGTTAATTTCATCCTGCAACTACCACCAAAAATTTCAGAAGATCAAAACAAAAAGCTGATAGCAACAGTGGGGGTGGAAGAAATCAAGCAAGCCCTTTTCTCTATAAATCCAAACAAGGCTCCGGGCATTGATGGTATGACTTCTTTGTTCTTCCAAAAATTTTGGGATATTATTCAAACTGATTTGTATTTTGCTAGTTTTTTTTGAATCTGGACAAATTCTCAAAAGTCTAAATCACACCCTCATCACTCTCATTCCTAAAATTCCCAACCCAGAAAGAATCTCTCATTTTAGACCTATAAGTCTATGTGGCACTACTTACAAAATCATATCTAAAATTCTAGCCACTAGACTTTTGCCTTCATGCATTTCAGAAAATCAAGCTGCTTTTGTTAGAGATAGGCAAATTTTGGACAATATTATTATTGCTCAAGAAGTGATGCACTTTCTCAACGCTCACAGACAAGGAAATACCTATTATATGGCATTGAAACTTGATATGAGCAAGGCATTTGACAGGGTGGAGTGGCCATGTGTTCACCATACCATGATTAATTTGGGTTTTCATCCATCTTTTGTTAAATGGATCATTGTCTGCATTTCTTCACCTACTTTCTCATTTAACCTAAATGACACTCCTCATAGGTATATCAAGCCTTCCAGAGGAATCAGACAAGGGGACCCACTGTCTCCTTATATATTTATCTTAATATCTGAGATTCTCTCTAACCTTATTAAATCTGAGTGTCATTTGGGTACTTTCAAAGGGCTTAAACTCTGCAGGAATGGTCCTACTCTAACCCACTTGTTTTTTGCTGATGACACCTTACTTTTTGGGAAAGAAAATGAAAAGCAAGCATACTTGATTCTGCACATTCTAGACCAATACAGAAAAAGCTCTGGTCAGCAAATAAACCTGCAAAAATCCACAATCTTCTTTAGCAAAAACACCCCTACTCACATCAAAATCCAAAACTGTGAAATCTTGTTGGGCATTACTTGTCATAATTCAGTGAGATATTTAGGACTGCCTTTGGGGATTGGGCATTCCAAAATTCAGACATTTCAATTTATTCAGGAGAGAGTTGCTAACAAAGTCTCTTCTTGGAAGAATAGATATCTCTCTCATGCAGGTAAAGAGATCTTGCTCAAATCAGTCCTTTCAGCCTTGCCCTTGTATGCTATGTCATGTTTCCTGCTACCCAAAACTTTGTGCCAGAGTATATCTCAAAGCTTTGCCAAATTCTGGTGGAAAACAAATGCTGCCCAGAACAAAGGAATTCACTGGAAATCATGGACTTACCTCACTCTTACAAAAGATAAAGGTGGTCTGGGTTTTAAGGACATTCTTTTGTTCAACAGGGAACTCATCTCTAAGCAACTGTGGAAACTTATGACAAGACCAAACCTGTTGGCCAGTAAAGTTCTCAGAGCCAAATACTATTCAAATGAGAGCTTATTCACTGTGGCAAAGAAGAAAAATGGATCATGGATGTGGAATAGTTGGATTGAAGTTAGAGACTCAATGGAGGAAGGGGCAAGATATGAAATCAGGGATGGGAACTCAGTGAAAATATGGAGCTTTCCATGGATTCCAACCCTGCCAGCCTTTAAACTCCCATCGCCTCAGACTGACACACTAGCTCATCTCATTTGGGTGAAAGATTTGATTGACCACACAGGCAGACACTGGAACACTCAGCTTATTCAGGAATCCTTCAATGACAATGAAGCTCAGGCAATTCTTAACATCAAAGGACTGGATCCCTCATCACCTGACAGATTAGTGTGGGATAGTGGTACCAATGGAGCATTTTCAGTATCCTCTACATATCACAAACTGGTAGCACAAAAATGGAAAATCTTGGATTATGCAGAAAGCAACAGAGGTCAGAAAGTTCAAATGGCAACAAGGAAAAGAAACTGGGATCTAAAGGTGAAAGGAAAATTAAAGCACTTCCTGTGGAGATGCCTCACCAACACTCTGCCTGTTAGTTGTAACCTTATCAAGAAAGGGATGGACATTGATTGTATCTGTCAAAGTTGTGGAGAAATGCCTGAGACCGTTGAGCATTTATTTTTTGAGTGTAGCAGAGCTAAAAGAATATGGAGACTTGCTCAAGTATCTTGGGATGGACTGCACTCATACACTGATTGTTTCCAAGAATGGTGGTCCAAAGTTTGTAGCATCAACAAATTGGTAGTTTCTGAAGCTATAGTACAGCTTTCCACATACATCCTTTGGTGGTTGTGGAAAGCAAGGAACTTATGTGTTTAAAAAGGAATGGATGGGGGACAGAGTGGTTGCTGAACTTGCAGGGAAAGAATGGAGAGAGTTTGCAGTTGTGTAAGGAGATAGGCTCTGTCCTCATTTCTGGTTTTGCTAATCTAGTGGTTGTTGCTTATTAGTAAATAGTTTTTCTGACCCTTCTTTGGAGTTACTTTTAGCAGTTTGTATTATATTTTGGTGCTTCTGGGCTGTATTTTGCTTGGGGGTTCATCTAGGCCTTCTTGTGCAGTGGTTGAACACCTTTTTGAAGCTAAAGTTTGGGACTAGCTAGTGGATTCAATGGGAAAAGCATTGTCACTAGCTATCTTACAAACTTTTTTTTGTTTTAGTTGTGATGGTTAGTTGATTTTGTGCCTATGGGCTTTCCTCACCTGTGAGGATGATTTGGACCGGTTGGTCTCCGAAACGTACAAACGTTGTATTTTGTTTGTCGAGTTATTCAATCTATCGTTTCGAAAAAAAAAAATTGCTAGAAATAAAAATTAATAAAACTAAGGGTTTCCCACCTTTTTCTATTACAAAATTCAATCATTAATTTCATTATGTTTGTTTTTTTCCGTTTTACTTTATTCAAGTTCTTTTAGTAACGTTCCTAAATCATTGAATTATTCCAGTCTTTATTTGTAATGTAATATATGATCTTACACTTTTTAATTTTAATTCTTGATTTTGAAATAATTTGTTGTTGAATTAAAGCAACCAAATTGATTTTATAATATTTCAGTTTTTTTTTCTCTCAACATTCCATTCCTCCTCCACACATTGTCATCAAAGCAGCAATGTCAGATTGGAGGGACTTTTCAGCAGCAGCTCGAGCTCCATATTAGTGCTTTTGTTTTGCTTTTGTTTGTAGTTTATTTTATGAGCAGAGATTAGCTAGGCTTTGAGGCAGTGGCTTCATTTCTGTTCTTTCTTATTTTTCATTTATGTATTTTGTAGCTTCTTTGAGGTTCTAGGCCATCTTGTGGATGTGCCTCCCATGTTGTTCTGTCTTAGTTGGTTGTTTGTACATTGAACTTTGGTTTCTTCAGTTAATAGATCTCTCTATCGTTCCGGTAAAAAAAAAAATCGGATTTTATTTTTTGTTTTAAAAAGGTATAACTAAATTATACAATAATATTGCAATTTTTGAGAATAAAAAATTAATTAATTTAGAAATAAAAGTAAATCTCCGATCATCTCTTCTAATGAAAAATATCCACCTGCGGCTGCATGTTAACAAAAAGATATAATTATATAATTAGTTAATCTATATATATATATATATAACTATTAGGAAAAAAATTTACTAAAACTATTTTGTTTCTCACCTTTTTCCATTACAATCCAATAATATATATTTTATTTTATAAAACTTGTAACTGAATCTAATGATTGACACTTATTAGCGAATTATATACACCATTAATTACTAATTTATTATATTTTCAATTGTTCAGTCTCGTTTTTTTTTAGGTTATGAATATGAAAATCTGTAAAAGAATTACACACTAATATTATAGATTACAAACCATATACATAATCGAATATGCCATTAATTTTAGTAAAAAATTCAATCATCTCTTGCAGAAAATAATAATTTCAGTTACACATGATTTCAGCACAACAACAACAACAACAATAATAATAATATTGACAGTCTACTGCCAACGTTACGGTGTATATAAATTGGGCGATTTAATCAGGTTACGACATGCTTATGGTATAATTGAGAGCAATAAGTCAATAGAGAATATGAACAATTTTATGCAAATTATGAAAGTAAATATGCGTAAAAAGAAAAGGGATGCCGTTATTGTCGATCTGTTGTGGAGATCGGCAAGGAGAGTAGTTCTTCGGATTTTTTATTAAGAG